GTGGGGCAGGGGGGTTGGAACTGAATGATCTTAAGGTCCTTTCCAACCCTAACTATTCTATGATTCTATGATTTTAATGGAACAAGGCCACCAGTTTGTAACTTGGTTTTCTGTCTTCTTTCTATCTGCTTGTAAACTTGAGATGGCTGACCGTACACACACGTTTCCTGAAGCTGGTGGAACTCTCAAATACCAGTCTCCTTCTTGAGGAGCTAGATGCGTTCTATCTTCAGTAGTTCAGAATGTAGAAAGAAAGTACATTCCCAACCCTCAAAAATCCGTACTCTTGAAAGCAGGCTGAACTTTTATAAAGAGTTTGCACCTAAGGCATGTAGCTACCACAACTGTGCAGTGCAGTTGGCAGTAAAATTATTCCTGAAGAACAATCACAGCATACAGCATAACTTCAGTGATTGGAACTTGCAGCATGGAACTATATTTCCAGGTTTCAAGTTCTTTGAAGCAAACTTTGTCATTATATCAGCTCAATGTATGGATTAGACACCTTAAGCACTGTACGAATTCTAGCATGAGATCAGGCCACATTTATGGTAAGTAGGGCAATGGGTATAGTTGCCTAAATACTTACATATCTGTATAAAATGCATGCATGTAGGTCTCAAATACTGTTAAGAGAGCAGTATATACTGAACCTGCTGCTTTTACAAGAACACCTATGCATACAAATATACATGCCTAGTTTTATTACTGTAAGCAGTGTCCTGATATATTGGTTTTTAATATTCATGTACTCTTAAGTAACTGATGCTGGAGCATCAGTTCTTGAAGAAGCTGGGTCATGACAGCTTGTTTTCTACAAGTGTCTGAGTGGTCTAGGTTAGAATTAGCTGGTAATGACCAGATAATCAAACACGTTTTAACATTCGCTCAGGTCTAAGCCAACGCTTGGAACTCCATGAAACACCAACTTCACATTGCTGCTGGACTTTATCCTAGCAAAAAGCTATTTTCCAGCTTCAGTAGGATGCAACTGCTTTTTTTCCTTTCAACAATCACATAGGCCTCAGATGGGTAGCTGAGAAGAGAAGGAAGAAAGCTCTTAGTAAGCCACAGGAAAAGAACATTAAAGGAATGCTGAGTGTTTAGTGCTTAGTGACAAATTGTATGTGTGGAAGATGGCCACTGCCACTCTAGGGAAATGCTGACAGCAAGCAGTGTTCTACCAAGACAAGAGACAATTGGAGGGCAGGGATGTTCAGAGAAAAGGCCATTAAATAAATTTTCCTTTTATGTACCAGAATAGACTCAGATGAGACTACCATAATTCAGTTATCCCCCACCGTCCCTTATCAATACCTGCAGCAATTACTTTTGATGACCAAAATGAAGTTTATTTGCCACATTCATTCAGTCCTTCATTAAGTTTCCATGTATGCCTGAAAACCAAGAAATTCCAGACAGAAAGGGCAAAGCATCTTTGGTATCTACTTTCTTCTCTAGATATGTGGTGGAAACTCACATCTTAATTCTAATGTTCCATTGTGCTGCTTTGAGATAGGATGGATTTTCTTGGTCTTTTGACCTTGACAAAAGTCAAATCATTGGCCTCCCTTGGGAATGTTTGTAATGCACATACTGAAATATGCATATCTTGACAAGAGTGTTGTTGAACTCCATAAATTACATTAAACCAACGAGAACAGAAAGATAACAATCAGACTGTTACATTGCCATACAACATTGTCTAATAACCCTGTGAAAAAACCCTGCAGAATTGGAGCGTTTGTGCCCTATATATCTTGGAAACAATCTTTTCCAATTATAGTACTTTGACCTTTTAATGTTCTGTTTGCATTGTTGATCAGTCTTAATCTCTCTTGTTTACAGCACTATTCAGTAAGGAAAATACAGAGCAGACAACAAATAGTAGTGAGAAATATAAAAGATAAAAGCTGAAGTTTATAAATCTAATCTTATTTTATGGTCTTTTGTAAGGTATATACAGTTTCTATATTTCAGTGCCTTACTCGCTTGAAGGCAGTTTATAGCAAGGCTATGAATTCAACATTTTTATTTCAGTTTTAAATGTACAACAATACCATTCACTGATTATTCTTCACTATATGTCTTTACATTCATTTCCCTGGGGGAAAGGAAACACGAAATCATGACTCTATGTGGTGTAAATTCCTTAGATCCACAACTAGAATTTTATTGTCTGCAGCCCCATTATTTCATCAAAATATTCTTTTGACTGTCTGTCATCACACTATAACAGGGCCTGCTTTGCCACCTCGGTCTTTCCTGGTTAGGGAAAAGGAATCCCCACAGTGTGGGTTTTGGATAGTGTGGAGGTAGAAGCAGAGTTTCAGATCACCCATAGCCACTTTGGAGAGGGGCATAATGAGCAATCTGATACAGAAAGGGGAAGCATTTTGCTGAAGTCTGTGGACAGTCAGTGTTCCAGATGGAATGAAAACTTCAGAAGTCCAAATTTCCAGCCTCTAACTGGTTCAACCAGGCGGTATCTCCTTAGATGGAATCATAGATTACTGTGGAAAAGATTGCAAGAAGGGTAAGAAATGAGAACCAGAGAAAAAAATGTCAGAAATCTACATTTTCCTGATGCTCAGCACAAGCAAAAATGTAAGAGTGATGAGCAGTGTAGATAGTCAGACTTTTTGGGGCCTCTATGTTGATTTTAAGCCGCTTTCTTGCCCTTTTTGTTTTCATACAGAATAGACAAATGAACAAATAAATCCTCATTAAGACTATCTATCCAGCCTCTTGCCTTCTTTGCAATGTGCTGTGCTGCCAGTGTTTTAAGAGGGGAGTCCTCCGCAATGTTTTCCTCTTACCAGATGTGCATATCCTTGCAACAAGAAAAGGCAAGAGACTGGGTTTCCATTTCTTTCCGCTCCTACTAAAGAAAACATGGGTATTTTTGGACCTTGAAATCAAAATCACTAGGCAAATAAACTGAGCTCCACTGTGTTGGAAATGTTAGTCTGTGTTTTTGAAGTCTGAAACCAACTATGCTGATGACAATATGTGATAGCACCATATAAACTTAGACAGGAAAAACCCTTTAAAAGGTTGAGAGGGGACTCATCTCTAAGAAATATTTCAAAGACAGTTATTTGGAAAGCCCTGCTCTCCAAAAGCAAACCTTTTCACATCCAGAGACTGGTGGGGGGCAGCACTGGTTTGCTTTCTCTCTAGAATAGCTTGCCAACTGATGCTGAGAGCTTGAGTCTCTGGCTAACTGGTTTATATGTAGTCCTCACTGATATGGGGGTCTGAAGCACAGGTTTGTCTTTAGTGATGTGAATGTTTTCTGTGCTTTATCACTGAGTCACAATTCTATTCACATTCTGCCCTCCTGGCATAATAATAATCATCATGAAGATCAGAAAAATCCAAGGATACCACATATTTTATGACTACAGCTAAGTATTTACCAAGGTGCTAAAAACTGTCAAATCTTTGCAAGCAGGCCAGCAATCAGAAATCTGTTTTCTAACCACTGGCAGAGTGTGCTGTCTGGGATTTAAGATACAAAGAAGAAGCAGCAATTCTTGCTTTGGCTACCTTATGGGAAAGGCTTCACATAAAGATTGAACTACAGATGACAGTCCAGGATACTTTTTGATTCACGTCCTCTCCTGAGCATTTTCTATGCCTAATGTAGGCATCTTCTTGCTCACCATTCTTCTCCCTTTTACATCCCTATTTTTTTCCCATGAATCTTTGTATCTAAGTGGAGATTTGTTAGGAGACTAAAATTAGCCCCACTTTCACTAGGTCCTAGTCTTTTTCACCTCTTAGACTATTTTTCAGTAGCTGAAATTCCTTCTTTTTACCTCAGCATAGGCAAAACCATAATCCTGCTGCTGTTTCTTTTCCTGCAGCTAAACCTGGTCTACAGTAGCAAAGGCCTGAAACAGCTTCCTGTCAAATCTTTGATTTTTCCTTATTGAGGAAAACAACTACATGTGCTGATATCTAATGCTTTCTCAGTCCAACATCTCATGGCAACATGGCAGCATCACATAAGTCAGTGTGGCAGATGGGTTGACAGACCTGTTAGAAACTGAAAATGTGAGTTCCACCTATGGAAGCTGGAAAGAACTGAGGTGTGCCTCAGCATTGCAGCATTCAACAGCAGATCTTGTATCTTTAGTCACTGAAGTGACTGTCGCTACACTCATTTGAATTAGGTATTTTGGCTTATGCAAGCCCAATTGGAGTCCTGGCTCATAGAATCATACTCTGTTACCGTTCTGTGCAGCTTTATTGGGATACATTTGGCATTTAATTAGGAAACAATAGATTTTTTTTTAACTTGCTGCCATTTGGAATTTCCAACACAAGATCCTGTGCAGCAAAGCCATGAGAGTTTGTGCCCAATTGTTATTGAATGATAAAGGAGCATACAAGAATTTTGCCACTGGGTTTGGGGGATTTTTCTACAAATTCAGCAGTTAGTTTAATGAGTACTTGAATGATGTATGGACGTCACACCTGTACAGCTATGCAGTTGTTTCTATATATACTGTATATATATACACTAGACAAGGTGTTTGCTCTTCAGAATAACTGCATATGTTCAAAATCACATCAGGTTAAGCAGGAAAAGTTCCACCTTTCAGAGTTAAAGCCTGCCACCTGCTCATTACATTACTGAAGATTTTGCCTTTTAAGGTCCAGAGGTATTGACAGAAAGAATGCTACTCAGGGTGATTCCTAGTTTTTGGGATATCTGAATCACTAAAAAAGCACACTTTGCTGAAGGGAAAGAAAATTAATAAATGCTTACTTGCTTACATAACATCTGGGAAAATCACTTGAGTGGGAAAGGAAATTCCCAGAGGATAGGGCTACATGGCTTAGTGTGGACAATTTTCAGTTGCCTGTATGTTACCTCTGCATCCTGTCATCTATCCTGTGCTTCTCAGCATGGTGTCAGAGTATCCCTATGTGTTACAGGTAAAGAAATTTTACCATTGCAACCTCCTTCCTTCCTTTCCCTCTTTTAGGTTATGATGATAATATTGTACAAGTATGCCAGTCTACCCAGCTGCTGCTCATTTCACTATATTATCTGAAATATGAAAGAGAAGGTTAGTGTGATCTTTATTGTCATTTAATAAGATAGTAATTAATTTCACTATCTCAGATGATATGAGGAACATATTGACAGTGATATCTAGATCAGAAGTGATGCAAAAGCATGGTAAACACTGCCACCGCTTCCAAGTGATCTGGCCTTGTAAAGCAGTAGGCTGGTAAAGGATGCTTTCCAAAACTTACATTAAAAAACTTGAGTCAGACTGATTCCTTAGGTGCTGCATGATCTGCACTGCAACCAACCTGGTTAATTTCACTTCCATGTCAACTAACTGATTGATGAAGGAACCTCTGGTTGCTTCATCTGAATAACTATGGTTCATGTGGCAATAATGAAAAATCATTGTTCATACATTTTAATGCAGCACATTTGGTGTTGAACACCTGTTGTAATGCCTCACTGGGTTACCCATTCTGGTGAGAGAACTTCCTTGTAGAGTAAGCTTACTACAACTGAGTGCTTCATGGTATCAAAAACTTAACTAAGCAATTTTGAATTTTGTCCCATCAAGACCACATGCTTGAAGGTTCTTGTCTGTAGAAATGACTGGATAACAGCTTAGAGAAGTCTCTTTCTGACAGTAGATACCTGTCATAATGGGGTATGCCATCTAACAGGCCATGTTCTGATTTTTTCTGATAGAAGGATATAAAAATATATTCTAAAAATTCCCCACTGTCCTGGGTTTAGCAGTGGCAGTCATTTTTCTCTTTCTTGGTAGCTGGTGCAGTGCTGTGTTTTGACTTTCAGCTGGGAACAGAGCTGAAAAACAATGATGTTTTGGTTTGGCCAAGGACTTTGTGGGCCTCATGCTCTGCCAGGGAGGAGGGGAGCCGGGAGGAAGCAGAGACAGGACACCTGACCCAAACTGACCAAAGAGGTATTCCATACCACAGCACGTCATGCCCAGGATGTAACTGGGAGTTAGCCGGAAGGGCTGGTGGACTGCAGGGTTGGAGGAGGTATGGGTCGGTGCTTGGTCGGGCTGGGGGGAGCGAGTTATCGGTCGCCTGGTGATGAGGTGTTGTATTCTCTTTCCTTGTTATTTCCTTTATCATTACTATTATTGGTGGTAGCAGTAGTGATTTGTGTTATACCTTAGTTACTAAACTGTTCTTATCTCAATCCGTGGGAGTTGCATTTCTTTTTGATTCTCCTCTCCGTTCCCCCAGGAGTAGGGGGAGGGCAAGAAGGGGGGGGAGTGGGTAACAAGCTGTCTGGCTGTGGGTTAAACCACGACACCCACAAAGCTACTTTTTTCTTTTTCCTTACAAATGAAGATACCACCATGCTTGTTATTTAGTGCAGTACTATTAGAGGCATGAAAAGAAAAATGTGCACAGGTATGAACAGAGCCACATGACCAGTTTTGATTTAATATCTGAATTTAAAGCTTTGATTTAAATGCAGAGGTACAAAAGCTGAGGGAGGAGTATTGTCTTATATCAAAATGAGGCTTCGGGACAATCTAGCTGCTTGTCTATTCATAATGCAAATTATAGAATATGCAAGCAAAATGTTTCCTTTATACATTATATGTCTAAGTGACATGCTATCCCTGAATAGGCATCTGCTGAGCGAGGAGTTGGGATGTTAAATATGCTATTAGGTTCAGCAAGGATTTGCTTGGTATGAAGAAACAATGCATTCCTGCATAACATCTTTGTTGGCATTATCCCCCTAGAAGAAATTAATTAGTCCTAATGAAAAACATCTGTAGAGGACATGGTTTTGATTTGATAGATGAAGTGATTCACAAAGAAATCATTGCACACAATGATAAGCCAAAGATCTCAAAGGCTGAACAAGGTCTTACAGGTTCTAGAAAAAGGAGACATCATCAGAGCAGGAAATTCCTCAACTTCATCTAGTTGCGCTCAGGGCTTTTATCTACATTCCACAACATGTGAATTAGGTCCAAAACACTGGTGTGATTATCACTATATATTTAACTGTTGCCTAAATTTGCTTTCAGTGTTTTGCTTTCAATTTTGGCTTTTTAAAAATTTATGCTCTCTCTGCATGGGGGAATTCCTAAGTGTTGGGCCACCTCATCAGCTGGCCTCCAGTGCCACTGCTGGGGTTGTGTTGTTCTTCCTCCTCCCTTTTCATATCTTTACTTGAAGAGCAGTAGTGAAGCTTCTCAATTTCCAGCTGGAAACAACAGATTTCTCTGGACAAGGTTTCAAAGTAGATTTTTAGCCTTCGCATGCCTTCTCATCCACAACTACCCCTTCAAGGGAGATAAATACATTTTACCAGCTAAGACACAACACCTTCATGCACAGATTGGTAAGCAGTGTGGTTCTTCACAATTTTGAACACTTACACATGCAAAAGCCAAGCCCACCCCCCCCAGTTAATCAAATTCCTTATAGAGATCAGTAAAGTTGATACAAATCTGTGTTGCTTTTAGCTGTAGATTAGTAAATGAGCTTCAAAGTGAAATGACATTTTTTATTAACCAGAAAACTTGAACATTACAGAATTGTTTCATTGAAGTTTTCAATTCAGCTTATGATGTTTTAAGGTAAACATGTTTTAACTCAGTTTTGGGTTTTGTAGCAAAATTTTCTTCTTCCTAGCCATTTCAAATGCATGTTTCTGAAGCCGGAAGATGTGTCTTCTGTTCTCCATTCCCTGATCTGAGAGGAGATGACTGACAGGAGAATTTGTTGCAATTCTTGCTTTATATTGACCAGAGATACTACTGCTGAGTCTCACAAAGGAGTATCTCCCTACAGTAGTACCTTCAGTTTGTATTAGCCCTGGAATGAAAACGGAGCTGTAATTCAGTAAAGTACTGAGAACTTGGATAACATTTGGTAACTCTTAGTCCCAGCAGAGTATGTATTTAGGAATTGTTCAGTGCCTAAAAAGTCAGCATTACTGAACTTGGGTCAATAAGAACTGCTAAACAATATATCAAGCATTGTTCTGCTGCTTATTTTATGTGACCTTGTTGTCCTTCCTTTCAGTGAGGAAACTTGAAGATCACAAAAAATTCAATTGAGAATATTCCAGTGTTCAGGGCCAGAAGTTTGTGATTTGCTGTTCATCATAAGTTTCTGGACGGATACCCATGCTGACCAGCCAATGTCATAAATGTTACACTGCTAAAGTGGAACGTGTCTGCTTTTGCAACTTCTAACCATCTATCTGTATTGCATGATAGAAATACATAAGCTGGAAACTTCTGGTTACTGCAGAGTTGCAACGCACTGCTTTGAGAAATACACAAAGCAACTCCACCTCTTGGGCAAAGTATCTTTCAAGGACAGAACTTCTGAGTATTGTGTCCATGATTTTGACAAATGGACTAGTTTACACTGGTTATTTTCAACACAGCATAAGTAGTAAATAAAAGTTGTATACCTGAGCATGAAACAGTCATTTTTTTTCTCAGTTGTAAGAGGTAACCTGGCTTCCAAGAAAGAGCCATTAAGGAATAGGAAAATGATCATGCAGTGAGTGTAGCATTATAAAGATTATCGACTGGCCATTTAGAGCTATCTCAGAGCTCCTTTGGTTGGGGACATCCTCAATTGGAAGCAGAAAGTCTGTACTTCAGTATGGTTGCAAAGACCTGAAGTTGACAGGTTAGCTACAGCTGGATAGATACTGCTGGATATGTGGTAGGTGTTCTTCTAGAATTGTCAGAAATTATGCCCTGAACACGTCCTTTTTATCCCTGGGGCCACTTTCATTATTTTCCAGAGGAGATTCCTCCTTTCCCCCTCCCACCCACCCTCTGCCTTTAATTCTGTCATTCCTTTCATTCACTTTCTTTTGGCAAAGCAGAACATAGCTGTGTTGTAAAAACCTAGAAGTTGCCACTTCTGGGGGTTCACTGGCATGATGGAGGATTCAGAAGCCCTGAAAGATGAGCACTGGCATCTCCAAAATTGATGATTTTGCGGACAGAGTCAGTGAAGTAGTTATGATTAATGGACATTGGATTTTCATTATTCTGTCAATGGAATAACATGTCCCTTTGGGTCTCTGTGCTTGTGTCTAGTGACAACGGTGAGAGTTTTATAGGCTGGTAACAAAGAAATACAATGCTCTTTCAAGGTCTGTTTTACTAATACTGAATTGGCTTTTAGTTTCTCTAGGCTTCTCACATGTGGCAGTAATCAACCACCAAATATAGCTCAGAAGCATCTTGGTTATCTGTAAGGCAATCTTGCTCTAAAAGAATTTTTCTTTAACCAACTAGAGAGCAGTGAACTCACTGCTTTATCTTATCAGTGTTTATCTTATTTTGTATGGCTTCTTTTAGAAAATGAGAAAGAAAGTTACTTTGGGTGTGCAGCTCTCTCTCTTTGCTTCACAAATAGGATCTGTTTGCGTGAATCATGATGGTGTGGGCTAAGAACACAGGAAATGTTGTGGAGTAAAATCAAAGGGGACTTCTGCACCTAAATACATGGGGAGAAAAGGAAAAAAACATGTGGAAAAATTATCTTCAGCTGGACCCTGCCTAGCTTGAAAAAGCCTTCCACATGCCCAAGCCTTCCACATGTCCCAGACCATGAACATAGGTATCAGATCCATCCTTGGCCACATTCTCCCTTACCAAGAATATATGAGCATTTTCTCCACTGTGAACAAGTAGAGAACTGTTACGATTTTGCTTCAATCTTGATCAGGGACTTCATTCTGTAAGTTTAGTTTTGTAAACTAGCAGTCTTCCTGTCACACAAAAAAGAGGTCTTTTAGCAGAGGACTCTTTCCTACTTGTGTGTCTGATTGTATTCCCTCTTCTCATTTAAATGGGGACAAAATGAGACCCATATAGCAATCTCTCTTATGTTTTAAATGCATAATGAGTTAAGAGGTGAAGCAACTGTACCAAAACAACACATGCAAACCTCTGTTGATAACCCAGATTTATTTCTTGCCCTGTATTTCTTGACACTATTCACAGTATGAGTTGTTCTACAAGATACCCATTCCGAGTACACATAGTTCAAAAAAGTGCTCTTGCTGAGTAACATGTGCACATAATAAATCCAGCTGCCAAATGTAAATTTTCTGGGAAATTTGTTGTTTTTCTTTTCTCTATGGAAATATTCTGGAAAATATTCTTTTTTTTTTCTTTTTTCTTTTTTTTTTCCTTTTGACCCAATGGATCTTTCAATATATTGGTCATTGTTTCTTTTATTGAATTTCCCTAAGGTTTTGTAATATAGGCTTCCATATCAAGTATTCCACTGCAAAATAATTCTGTGGTTTTATTCACTTTGTATTCATTATTACTGATTAATTTTGCACAGTCAAGCAAAATAGAAAGGAAAAAGGTGGGATTTTGGAAAAAACCCAGAATAGTTCAATGCAGTATCACGTATGCAGTAATTAATGTTTGTAGAAAGTACTGCAGTGATTTTATGTCTACTGTCCAGGGTTAGAATAGTTAGAAAACCAAACAGTTTCTCAAACCTTTGCCTAATGTGATTAGTTTAGCTATTTTTGCAGTAGGTTCCAGTTGAGAAACTTAAAGCACTGAGGGAGTCCCCTGATTTTGATACAATTTTCCAGGTCTTGAAGTTCAGTAATGGGGACTGTAATTAACTGTAGCGTGCTTTCTTCTTAAAATACTTGTTATCACATATGCATCACTGAGTAGCTTCCCTCAGCCTTACCTAAATTATCTGCAACTTCAGATTTTATCCTGAAAATTGAGTAGTAGACAATACATGTCCAGTTTGTGAATTATGTTATTTATAAGATTACATACTTTTTATTATTTAAAAGAGCTACATAAAACATTGCATTTTTGCAGTAATGAGTTTCTGATAGGGAGTACTCCAGAAACAAGTAAATTCTAAGAATTCATTATTCTTCACTGGCACTAACTCAGTGATATTGCATATTGTTTCTTTTCTATGGGAAACAATGTGTGAAAATTTATATTTAACAAAATGGAAAGGTAAAAGAATAGGCTGTGAACCTGCTATACAAAACAAAGAAACAACTTCCTGATTCAGACATCCTCTGAAGAATGGGTTGCTCAGTTTTAAAGGAGCTATTATTTTTTTTCCAGAAGGCATTCCTAGACCTTACTTTGAGAGCTATTATGCACTTGGCAATTGCTTCTTCCTGATGAAGAAAAAACTGATCAATGACTTCCCATATCTATCTTACTTCTTTAACACCATGTACTGACAATGGGTGGCCAAGACATATTGCTTCAGAATTTCCAGATCTTTGAATGCTTAATGTCATAATATTCATGATAGGACTTTGTATTTTTTTCTCAGGAGTGTGCCTTGGGACCTCTATTTTTACTTTAGAAAAAGGAGAAAAAAGAGGATAAACTGTTAAAAACATCTGGATTAATTAACTTATAAAAGCTGGTCATTAACTCAATATCTGTGTTTCTCAATTTCTGCAGAATCTTCTGAAACAGATTAAAACACTGATTCCATTTTTTATCTTTTTTTATTGGGATAGCTATTTTCTGATATATAGCACATATATTTATGTATATATTACATATATATAAAATTACATATTTTATATATATTATTTTCTGGTGCTGAATCATGTGTGACCATTCCTCGCAGTTTCTACCTGAGTTTTGGAATCTTGTGAAGCCCATGTTTCTGACGAAGTTCAAATGTTACAGTAAGATCTTACCTGCAACCAACATCCTCTTCCTTTGAGCTTCAAGATTTATCAGCCTTCAGAGGAAAGACTGATTTGAAGTCTAATGTTTCTATGTTGCCTGAGCTGAGATGGGCCCTTCTTTGGGTTTGGTGATCCATCCAAGATTCTGCAAACTAGCAATTTTACTGCTTCCAGAAGTGCAGAAGTAACTGGAAGCTTTTCTCTTTCACATGGTGAAGTGCAAGCTTACTCCTTCTCAGCTATCACCAAGGACAGAACTAGAGTTATTGAGGTGCCATACCCACTTGTCAGCTGCTCCCAGACTGTCATATGTCATACTGCAGTAGCTGATCCAATAACAGTAGTAAAATGTAGCAGGAAGTTCCAGTACTGCAAAAAGTACAGAGCAAGTAAGCAGGAGGCTTAATTGAACTGCAACAGAATCTACAGGCCCCTATAAAATGGTATCGTAGATCTACAAATGAATCGCTGAGCCAGTACATTATTGGACCCCACATATTTCATATATCACTCATCACTAAATTCCTTACCGCCAAGTTGCAGTCTGTCTCACCCTGTTACTTCAGTCAAATTCAGTATTTAATTGTCTATGCAGAACTAAATAGATTCAGTAGCAGACTGTTTTACCTTCAGATTAATCCAGGATTGATCAACCATCTTATCATTATAGACCTCTTGATTAGAGAATATGCTCAAGAAGTGGGAAGCAAGTCCCAGTGCCATTGTGCATCAGAGGTTCCTCTTTCCCAAATGATGGTGTAGCATCACCAGGAGTTATCTCTACCCTAGCGCTGACTTGAGATATGGCTTTGATATTCTTGTTCATTTTGCAAGCACTTAACTCTTCTGAATGACTCTTCCAAGGAATATTTTATTGTAATATAAGAGGCTTCTTCTAAAAGAAAGCAGTTCTTACACTCATGGAGGATCCAACAGGACAGAGAAGTCCCTCAGTTGCAAACAGGAGGTACTTATGCTGAGTTACTTAGCCTGCAGCAGTTCCTAATATGCCCAGAAGAAGAAAACTTCAGAAACTTTAAATCCAACAAGGTAGTACATAGGAAATGTACATATCATTGGGATGGAGTAGTGCTGAGCAGTTCTTACTGTTCTGAAAGACAGGCACCTCAATTCTTTGCTGAATTCAGCCACAAGACTACATTGTCTGTGTCCTTTTTCAATATCTTAACCAGAAATCTGCCCTTCCTTATGAAATATAATCTTAGAACTGGTTATGGCTGTCTCGCAGGGGAGTGGAAACTATTTACCAGAATAGGATTTTTAAATGCTTAAGTGTTTCATACTTAAATATTTTCCCCATACTTAAAAGGTTAGTTTGCTATTGATGGTATTTTTTTGTCTTAGATCAATGTTTTCCTCTTTTGTAACTTTTTCACCATAGTTTTGACTCTAAAGACTTAAACTGCTATGGTTTGGAAGCAAAATAATGTGAAAAGTTCAGTGTGGAGAAAGAATATTACACAATGCAGATCCTGATAGCGCTAAGGAAATTTAAATGGGAAAGGTTCTGATGTGACCACATGTGGTGGTGCATCCTCCCATCCTCTGGGGTGCTCCACAATCTCAGGAATTCCCCTCACGCCTTGGCCTTTGTGTAATGAGTTGGGTGGTGAAGTGTCCCTTGACTGTACCAGGAACTCTTGCATGGCTAAGTAGGGAGGCACTGATTGTACCAGAGACGTGGCTATGGTGGGAATGAGAGCAGGGATAATCAGTCATTCCCTGGCAGCCTCAGAAGACTCCTTCCCTTGATCGTAGCCTGAGTGGAATGGGTCCGTTTGTTACTGGAGTTCTCAATAATTTCCAGTAATCACTGACTCCGGTTGCATCCAGGATGGAAATATACTAATGACTAAAGCAAATCACCTTGTGACCTTATAAATAGTAGTCCTAAGTGAGGCCCTCTGAGCTCTCTAGAAGAATGCTGTGGGAAACGGTGTCAAAGGCTTTACTAAAGTCCAGGTAAACAACATCCACAGCCTTTCCCTCATTCACTAAGCGGGTCATCTGGTCATAAAGGGAAATCAGGTTAGTCAACAGGACCTGCCTTTCATAAACCCATGCTGACTGGGCCTCATCACCTGGTTGTCCTCTATGTGCTCAAGATGATCAGTGTAATGGATCAATTTGGTAACAGGTTAAAAATTAAACAGGGGAAGTTTAGATTGGATATAAGGAGGAAATTCTTTCCTGTTAGGGTGGTGAGGCACTGGAATGGGTTGCCCATGGAGGTTGTGAATGCTCCATCCCTGGCAGTGTTCAAGACCAGAGTGGACGAGGCCTTGGGTGATATGGGTTAATGAAAGGTGTCCCTGCCCATGGCAGGGGAGCTGGAACTGGATGATCTTAAGGTCCTTTCCAACCCTCACTATTCTATGATTCTGTATGTTCCACTGTAGGTAACAATTTGGCCATCTGGATAACTAAAGCTCCCGCTCATGTTCTATAATGAGTTAACAGACTGAAGAGAGATTTCAGAGGCAAAAGTAACAGCTTCATAGATAGAATTTTAAAAGTTATCAATGAAGGGTGGAGGGAAGCTTATTGTGAACATCCACATATTGTCTGCAGTTTAGTGTTATTGAGGTATTGATACATTAAGAACAGACATAGCATTTGACATGCTAAAAGGAAGCCTCCTTGGGCACATGA